CATTATCTCTACACCTTAATCCTCACTAGGGTCGCAGGGGAGCTGGAGTCTATCCCAGCTGACTCAGGGTGAAGGCAGAGGACAGGTCACCAGTCTATCACAGGGCTACACTTAGAGACAGACAACCAAGCACACTCACATTCACATCTACAATTCAGAATCACCAATTAACCTCTACATGTTTTTGGACTGTGTGGGAGGAAGCTGGAGAACCCGGAGAGAACCCACGCTGCACAGGAAGAACATGCAAACTCCACACAGAAAGATCCCGGGTGTCCTCACCGACGACCTTCTTGCTGCAAACTACCAACTGCTCCACCTTGCAGCCCCTGTGCAGATCCACTGTTAGAAAAATAAAGAAAAGAAAATGCTTTTAACCATTTTCTGCAAATGGAAAAAAGTTGCTTCAACATCATTCCTTTATTTTGTAGTCCTTTTTGTGTAACTACTTTCATTCACAACGCCATATTTGTATATCACATATATCAGTTATATCTAAAAATGGGCACTAAAGATGCCCCTGGTTGTAAGGAGAGAGGTATCCAAAGAGGAACTGCTGGCTGGACTTGGATTTCCTCATAATACCACATGAATTTACAATTGTGTCAGAAGGACTGAGAGCCAACAGTGACTACAATAAAGCACAGAGAGATCATCAAAGAGTGGGCAGGAGCTGTAAGACTCACTGAGGTCCATCTGAAAAGGCCCACTCGACGTTCTTGGCGGCGTGGAGGCCCCTCTGAGGGCGCCGCTCTGTGTTTTAATCTGCTTGTTTCGGGACTGAATGATTCATCGGCTTTGAGATGGCTTTACTTCCAAACTCTTTCTTACAAGACGTGCTTCCTCATTTCATGCCTGTGACTTTTCACTTTTGTGTGGCTGCTGCATTTCCCCTGATTTTTACAGCTTTTGGTGTTTGGTGGTGGAAAATTTAGTCTCTCGCCAGATAGGTTTGCAAGTATTTTCTGGTGGCATCATGATTACACAGTCGTTTGCCTACTTTACAGCCATTTATATCCCTGTGATATGCCAGCGCTCCTTAACAAACGCCGAGATATGCTGATTTTGACGGATCTCACTCCAAAGACTTATCCGAGCTTAAGCAGTAATTTAGAAATCCCTAAATTAAAAATCACTTTGAGTTAAACCAAGCATCCAAAGAGGCAATACACAGTATCTAATTTTGTGACTTTTTCAGAACGCATTAATCCTCCCAAATGGGAGCTGACAGGATATCACATGCTATTGTAGCTCACCAGATACCTCAGGAAGCAATTACCATGAATACATTTCTAATAAACTTGTACCCATCAGATGATAAGCAATTAAACATGCGTAATTATGGTTTCCATACAGTAATTTCTAAGCTGATTAGGTTTGTGTGCTTTACAACCTGAATGGGAGAATATTAATAGGGCTTTGGTTTGGTGTTGCTGGTTAGTGGTGGCAGCTCATCAGCGAATCATATGCAAATGAGGCCTCAGGAAGTGCATGAAGCCTCATTCCCGGCTATTAGAACTGTCAGGGGAGGGAGGGACATGTCAACGGGCAGCACACACACGCACACACGTACATGAATATGCATTCACACAAAAACCCCACGCACGCATTGTCGAGGGCTAGGAAATTATATGCTCTCTATACATGCTTCTCTACACTGTGTTTGCACTTTTTCCTCTGGTAATAGAATCCTCATTGTACTTTCTGACTAAGTCCTTTAGTTTAGTTTACGCTCTGTTACAGATGCTTCATATTTAAATGTCGACTGATAACCAGTAACATCCATGACTGTGGCTCTTTGTGGTTAGTTTTGGCTTAATTCTAATATTTAGTTTGGTACCAGTTTCTTTTATAACCAGTTCATTAATAAATAATTTACTACTGCTTTATAGACCAGTTATAAACCATAAAGACGACAACAACATTTATGGTGCCAGGTTGTGGTTTAACTGGTGTTTACACCTTCAGCAGGACACTTCTTTAGTTAATCACTTGATGCTAGTTTTGCAGAATATTCCCCCTGATTTCCAAACACCCAATATTATCCTACACATTTTAACCAATGCTGATGTTTTCACATATTTTTTCCACCTAATTGCATTAAAACATCAAGTGTCTTTATTATTATACCTACTATACTGAGCTGCAGACATAAACTACAATTCCTTAAAAAGTGCACATTCGCTGCAAGAGAACTACTTTACGTAAAACATGCCAGATGTATTTGTTTCTGGGCTGATGCTGATATTTCATTTTAAAGTCTTTATCAGCCGATACCGATGCCAATATCCTCGTCCATCCCTGTTGGATAAATTACTGTGAACAACCTTTATTGCTAACTCACTAACATTTATTATCGTGTGATTGAACCCATTCCTCTACATTAATGACCTGCTAACTTTTGCAAACGCAAATTGTTAAAAGCTGGAACAGGTTAATCAGCCAACAGCATTCTTCACAATATGGCAACCCAAACATCTGAATGGTTTATAGCTGATCTATAAAACATTAGCACCTGATTCCTAAAATATTGATAAAATCATCACATAAATCATATTAAGTGTGGCTTATTAGAAACTTTATTTTCATTTTAATGTTATTTAACTTTAAATTTGTCATCATCCAAATGTCTTCTATCAGACTTTTCATGTCTGGAGTTGACTAAACAGCTGTTTCACTGCAAGACATCATGTTAATTCAGTCAAATGTTAAGATAAAAACAAAAGTAATGTTACCATTTATCCAAATGTTATAGCATGTATAGTTATATAACAACAAACAACTTAGTTTACAGCTGAAGAAGCAGTTAGACCTTGTGCTGCTAATTTTTTAATATATATATTTTTAAATCAAATATGTATCCTTTGATTTGTCTTTTTTGTTGTTGTTAAAGATCCTTGAAAGACTCCCTTAAAGACACGAACTTTCTGCAGTTTTTGTTCACATAAGAATCTTTTAGGAATCAGGAAAGCACACAGAATCATAAATGAAAATGCACATTTATGCTTGAGTAAAGTAACAGGCAGAATTTTTGAATAATCTTTAATTAACCAGGAAAGACTCATTAAAAACTGAAACTTGGAAGCCTCTTTTAAAAGTGAGATCTGCCGCAAAAAAGCAGCAGAATTAAGAAATCGCAGATAAAACTAAGCAACAGATGTCAATACTGAAATAATTCCAGCAAGTTGAGAGACACATCCTTCAGTAAACACTGATTGAACTGTACTCTGACTGACTGAACTCTCTCCTCCCTGTAATATTGCAAGAAGACCTCGGCGGGCGAAATACATGACTGATTTCATTTTAAATCCCAGCCACTCTCTCCGCTGACAGAGCTGGTGAACCAAACATTTCATCTGTACAAACCTGCGAGTCTTTCCCAGATACAAACCCTCAGGGAGCACGATACAGCCTTTTCTTTGTGACTTTACTAAAGCTACCATTCAATCAAATGACTTTCCCTGGAAGGACGGCCATGTTTGTGTGTGTGTGAGTGTGTGTGTGAGTCAGAAATAACATTACACAGCAGTCAGCAGAGCAGTATAGTCTGTTCTGATTTATTATCAACCTGAATGTTACTTCTCACACAAAATATATAGTTCTCATTGAGGCTCTCAGTATACATTTCAGATAGCACTATATAAGGATTCATAAAGTCATTCATCATCTATACATAGAGGGAATAATCTGTCATGTTGCACAAAATGTCACAATATACCAGTGATGGATCGTAATTTCCCAACAATCCCAGTAGAATATCTTCTTAAATATATCATATTATTACTAATGATACAGGATGACAGCATTTCTAAATAGAAGCAATATCTCAGATGGTATATTTCACATTTAATATTAACAGATGTTTATGTAACAAACAAAATATGTCAAATCAATGCACTGAGGAATAAAAAAAACAAAACAAAAAGAAAAAAACAGCTGATATGTTGCATGATTCGTGAGGCTTTTTCAGAGTCCGTGGTTCAATACGAGATGTCTGGACCCAAAGTACAGCAGTAACACACACACTTCAACATCTGCACACGTGATGCTGAGCACATTAGTCAGATCACAGAGGAGGAGAAACATGTGAGGAGTTTACTTCCAAAAAACGCTACATGTATCCAGCACATCGAGTCATTTAGAGGATTATAATCTGTACAGTATCGTTGTTTATACAGGCAAGGACGTCATTTACTTTACACGTTGTTATTCTAAAAGTACTACAGCTGAGAGCCGCAATGGTCGGTCGATTGATCGATTAGGCGAATGGCAAAAAATAAAATGGCAAATTTTTTTGAAGCAAAAATGCCAAACGTTCTCTGATTCCGGCTTCTCAGATGTGACAATTTCAATATCTCCACATTTTACGCTGTTAGTCATACAAAATAGGCAAATTAACGTGGCCTCTGAGAAAATGCAATTACCATTTTTTTAAAAACTATTTTTCACCACTCAAAAGACTAAACGATTAATCGAGGAAGTGTTAGTTGCAGCCCGACTACAGTTTGGTTTAAATGTGCCAATAGTCATTTTCTAAGCATTTTGTGTCAGCTTTTTGACAGTAGATAGCTCATTTTGGAACAAAAATCTTCACTTGACATCACGTAAACATCTCGTCAGTGGCACTAGAACGGTATGTTCAGGAACAACATCACAGTTATAGAGGATCGGGGGGGTTCATATCGACAAAACGTCTCACAGTAGGAGTGCAGATCCTGACTTCCCACGTCACGTCAGAACCCCGCACGCCGAAACAACACAGATCAACAGTCGTACTCTGAGGCGAAATTTGCGAATATGGATACAGGTGAGATATCCGGCACGACATTCATAAGTATACAGTATATATAGAGGTGAAGAGGAGGCAGAGACAGAAGAGAGAGAGAGAAACAGAGCGAGGAGAGAGGGAAGGGCAGAGAGAGATGTCAGTCTTGAGTGGGCAGAAGAAACCGGTGTTCAGCGAGCGAGAAGAAGGTGGGGAGGAGGGGAGTGTGATGCCTTCACTGAGGAAGCGCTTTCAGGATGGCGTTCACCTCCTCTGCCACGGCTGTCAGCGCAAACTCAAACTGCTCCTGAGGAGGAGGAGGAGGAGGAGGAAGAAGAGGAGGAGGGAAGGATGCAGGGAAGAGAAAAGGAAGGATAAAAAGTTTTAGTGTGTGTCCAAGTGTGTAACAACTCAGGTTTTCAGCATGATTGACAGGTGCCGCCTCCGCCTCTCCCTCCATATCTCCTGACCCTGCCTGGGATGAGCTCGGCCACAGGCTCGAGGTGAAGGTGAACCACTCTGTGAGCCTTCAGCTTGAAGTGCACGCGTAGCCGGCACGGCCATCGATCCAGCCAGGTGTGTCTTAAAATGGAGCTTTTGAGTCAAGCTGTCTCTCAGGTTTTTCTCTGTACGTGTGTGTGTGTGTGTGTGTATTTATTTGTGAAACCGATTCATAGTTTTCCCGGAGGAGCCCAAAAGGGGCTGATTGATGTTTGCCCCATGGACCCTGGTGTTTTTATATTCCTCTCCTCTCCCCAGGCTGCAGGCCACAGGGTCCTCTCACAGAGAAAAGGTACGTAGGAGTTTGGAGGGAACAGTCTTTAGATGTGTCAACACACAGCCTGCCATAGTCTGGCCCGAGGATAGGCTCAATCAATACAGAGGAGTCACTGGTGGCCGTGCTTCTCGCTTTGCAGTGGAGATTATCTGGAGTGTTGATGTTTTTCTATTTTTACGCATCTACTGAAGTTAAGACGGGGCCAGAAAATATGTAAGTACATCCGTCTTTATCTCCACCGCAGTTATGTGCGCCTATATCTAATCCCAAGTTGAGTTTAAAGTTGTGCGTAGTGGGAAAAAGATACTTTTAAAAATGAGGGGTTTTGTGCATGAAGCGCTGTTCACGTTCACGCCACTGGGGGGAGATCAATCTCTGCTCGACGGATCGGAGATGAGCGTTAGGAAGGAAGAAAAACGGTCACACATGTTGTAATTACTGCACGTTGATGTCTGTCAAAAGCAGTAAGCAGAAAAAGGGGTGGAAATTATTGTCCTTTTTTTTCCTTTATCCTAGAATAAAGTGGCGACATCATGAAGGGTAGAAAAGATAACTGGTTGTCCAATCCTTGAAACTTAACTCTAAATTTCATACCTCATTACAGTCTAATTTCTGTGCAGGCCCAGCATGGAGCCCAGCAAAGTGGAATCAACAATATTCCAATATAATTTCACTTAGACAAGAAAACGAGAGAGTGCTTGAAAAGCTCTTTTAGGTTGAGCAGAGCAGGGCTGTAAAAGTAGCATTAATGAACCATCGAGGAACACTGGAGTCTGTTAGCTTCCATAAATATTATCACCCACCGCTGCATGAGGTTTGCCTTTATTATTATTATTATTAGTATTCCTCCCAATTACAAGAGAGAAACAAAAGAGACTTCCTACCTGTTATTTGCATTAGCGGATAAGAGGAAATGCCTTAAAGTATTCTCCGAAATGGTGTGAGATGGAGGCCCTGCTGAGACTTAAGAATGCAGGTAGTAGCCTTGATCAGACACAAGTGTGATGGCTACATTATGAGAAAAGATTATCTTATACAGCATTTTTGACGACTGGTTAATCGTCATTTACTGAAGCAAAAATGCAATAAACACGAGCCTATTCCAGCCTCTTAAATTTGAAATAAAGTGCTTCTCTTTGTTTGATTTCATTGCAAATTGAATCTCTTTTGGTTTTGGACATTTGGGCTTCAGGCTCTGACGTTTCATCGACTTAATCGGTTATTTGCGGAAAGATCTGCCAACCAGTGATGAAAAATAATCATTAATTGCAGTCTTTTATGTATAGAAATGAACATAAAATCCTATAATGCTGCCGTTCCCAAACACGAAATAATTCAGCGAGAGATCATGGTCATTCTCTTTCGGTGTCTTGTGATAAATGTGGAACACTGAGTTATTATCTTGCGAGACAATGTTTTTCTAATCCTGAAGCAGTTATCAATTACACCATCATTTCCCCTGATCCTGTGCACATAAAGTAGACAATCGTCTGTTTGAATGACTGCAACCTCCTCCCCCCCCACCTCCCCGTTTCTCCCCTCCTCCCTCTCTGCTCCCCCATTCTCTTCCCTTCTCCCCCACCTCTCTAACTCAAAGCCGGGGACCTTACCTTTGTCTGGACCATGCCAGCTCTCTGGTCTCTCAAGTGCTCCAGGGTAGCGGCAATATCAATCTCTTTAGCACCTGCAACAGACCGAAAATTGGACTGAGTTCAAAGCAGCGGAGTAATCCAGCTCACATCTGTCAATCTCTCTTTATGCTGGGCTCCCTTTGGAACAGCGCAGCGATTGAAAATTATTACATTCATCCCTCGAAAGACTTGGACAAGAGCCACAGACTGTTTCTCGATAAAATATGCAAAAGGATATTTTTTTTTTGGGGGGGGGTATGGGAAATGTGTAGTAATGCGTTAAAAACAAAATAATAATAAAAAAAAACACTCCACTCTGGCTCTTCTGTGAGAATCTCGTCCAAAAAAAAAAAAATAGCTTTAGATTATGTCTAACTAGAAAGTCCACTCAGAGCATTTTGATACATCTGAGGGAGCGCGCATGTATCTGAGCATCAACAAACGCTAATTAAAATGATTTATAGCCGCTCTGCAGCAGTCATTCTGATGATTAACCTATGCAACAGTTGCTCGCCTTCAACAGTGATCAGCTGCTGTTGAGTCTGTGATGTTAATCTGGAAATCTTCTTCTGCTTTCAGATTTATGGATTGCAAGCAGCACGCCGGAGCTCATTTGAGAAAAACCGACAGGGAGCGATGTGGAGAGGAAACCCAAGGAGAGAGCGAGAAAGAGAAAGAGCCCCTGAACTCTCAAGATGTTTTTCAAAGTGAGGCGAAGAAAGGAAGCAAAGGAGATAGAGTGTGAATGTACGTATGTGTGTGGGTGAGAGAGAGAGAGAGAGAGAGAGAGAGAGAGAGAAAGCGGGATTTAATGCAGCCGGACTTAGTGCTCAAAGTACTCCAGTGCTCCGACAAGACTTTCATGTCTTAGACGGGCTGGATTCCAAAGTTAAGCTGAAGAGAGGCTCTCTGACCGAAGAAAAAAGCTTCGGAGAGTGAGATTATGTACATTTTATACATTTGGTTTTAGAGCAGGAAACAGAAGGTTATAAAGAAACCAAATGGAGCCTTTCATCACCGTGGACAACAGCGTCACTGATCTACATGAACTCCATCAGGCCGGGTCAGTCTTATTACTGTTTTACAGACAACGAAAGCAGCAGAGGCCCGGCTAACCCGCTCTGATGAGGCTGGATCTCAGGAGGAGGGCATGCTGGGAGCTGGGGCTAAAGGTCAGGGGGGGTCAGGGGTCAGAGGGCAGAGGGCAGGATAAGCTATGGAGGGCTTTAAGGTGATGTAATGCGGCCTTTGGAGGAACCCAGCTCCGGCGCCACAATGGGTGTTCATAAGTTGGATATCTCAAAAGAATTGAGAGGGCAAATTGAACTGATCAGTTTGTTTATTCATGCAGACTGACGGGATTTTTCTCAAGTCAACTCCTGCTTTGTTGGGATTCAGAGAAAAACACAAAGTTTTCTTTGTCACAGCAGCCTAAGATTTAGAAACAAATCTATCTCCAAGCTCCGTAATGATACAACCGAGGCCACGGAGATCATTTTCCTGTGGTTTTATATTTACTTTGATTTGTATTTTAGCTTCCATAATGGCGCCAAGTTGCTGTGATTTGTGACCAACCAGCACGACTCCAAATTGCAGAAGTGTAAATGCACCGTGGATTTCTGACATACTGGAGATATTCACAATTTAGTTCATATTAGTGCAAAAAAAAAAAAAAAATGTCAGCAATTTTCAGGGTGAAATTGGAGTTGCAAACTATGGACTGTTAAGAATAAATCAAATCAAATAACCACAATGTTCCCATTAAATATTAAATATTGATTCAAATCACTGAAGCAAATAGAAAATTTTGATTTTTTTTTTTTTCAAATGTATTTTCCCTTTAAACATTTCATTTCCATGCATGTGCTATCTAAATTCATGTTGCAGGTCAATACGGTGTGAAGGTAACTTAAATAGATAATTACTAATGTGGGTAGAGGGTTCTTTTTTTTTTTTTTTTAAATTTCCCCTCTCTCTGTTCTCTCTTTGTTCTGCTCTCTCCACTCCTAGCGGCTCCCCTCCATGTCTGCCTCTGTCTTCGCTGCCTTTCCAGGCCTCAGAGAAGTCACCCTCTAATGCATCCCCAAGACCCTCTGTGGAAAATGAGAGGCTTTAGCGTTGCCAGGGCAACACTTGAACGCAAGCAGAAAGAGTGAAAGGGAAGCCATTGATCGTTACCTTTAGCCATCCTATTGAGGACCATGTCAATCAGAATGTAAGTCCCACTCCTGCCAGCTCCATCACTGCAGAGAGTCAGAGAGAGAGAGATCATTAAGGTGGCAGAGTGAGATGCTTTAATCTCAGAGTGTTTTTCTTATAAGGAAACAAATTGCTCATTTACATCTGCATCTGCTGAGAGACTGTCGAGTATATTTAAACACAAATTAGTCTTTGCATACAGATGCACACGCCTCCATTTGCGTACAACATGATATTACAGACGGAATACTTAAGAAGCACAAATCAATAAGAAAAATTTTAACATTCTAATGAAAATACCTCAGCAGATCTGAATATTTGATGTTCCAATAAGTGTGATTATGTTAAACCTTTGCACACGAGTGCATGTGTGGTCTGGAGACTTGCTCGGCTATTGGAGAGAGGGGAATGGTTTCTAAGGCACACTGGGGACAAAGGCTTTTAAATGCATGCACCTCAGGAGCAGAGGAGAGGTTGAGAGGCCAGGGGCGGTTCGAGAACAGCTTTTGGAGAGCCTTGCTTTTCCATTACTCCAGAGATAGCCCTATGAAAAGCCTCCCTTTGTGCCCGCCGGCCATTCAACGGCTCTGCATGTTAATTGCAAACAAGGCGTGGACATCTCTCTAATAAAGGCAAGGCCAATAAAACAGGAGAGCGGCCTGAGCACCACAGCTTCATTAATCCACTGCTAGGCACTCAGTCCATGCAGCTCCCTCAGAGGGAAAGCGGGCTTACTGGCCCCATGCATGACTTAACAGGATGTGACTATTAAAAGTGGTCAGTCAGATACCTGGTGTTTAATACAAACCAATCAAGGCCAGTTAACTAACTCCACCAAATGGGAAATGGAAGTGTCTTTGGCTGGGCATCTCTGTGCCACGCTATTTACATAAGAACACAGTCAGTGGAATAAACAGCAGCTCCAGTGGACCCAGATAGAGTAAATGGATTGAGCGGGTTTAAATAAACAGCCTCTCCCCTCCAACACATAAGCCACGACAAACACTCTCTATCCCAATTCAGCAGGGTCAGCCACTGTCACAAGGTGCAAATAGTTATACTTGCCTGCAGTGAACAATTATCGGGCAAGATCGACCCCGGTAGCACTTGTTAACCTTTCTGAAATAAAAAAAAAAAAAAAAGAGAAAACTTAATGTCATTGCAAGCTTGGATTAAAGTCGAATGCACAGGCTGCTGAATGTTATATTCTGGAAACAGGAGCGATTCCTTTATGCTGAATAATAACAGCGATAATTAAAACAAATGTGACTCATGAGGGACTTCTGCACCGTGCTTCTGGATGAAATTAATGGCGGCAATAATCAAAGGAGCAAACACAATTCTGAGAGATGCTGCCTGCTGTCAATCAATCACTTTAATTTGAGCACAGAGAGAGAAATCCGTGTCGCACCACGTAAATAAATTGAGCATCATTTCGAACAGCATTATTGTGACATGTGGGTGATGGATGTGGTGGTGTGATGTTGTGATTGCCGACCGCCGACGCATTAACCCCAGCCAATTATGAATGTTATACACCACAGGCACGGTGAAGGCCAACAAGCCTTTTCACACCCCGCTGTTGCCATGGAAACTGACTACACTGAGAGCTTCCGCGTCTCTCCATCTCCCCTCGTTTTTCACCTTTCAATGACAAAATGAAAAAATAAATATCTCATCATATCTGTAGTTTGTCTAGTCTTATGTTCACTAATGTTTATAATTATTAGAAATACACAAACAAAGCTGTACATTTGCCAACAGTATTAATAATAATACATATTTATATAAATACTTCATATTAAATCTTGCCAGCTTGGGCAATGTTTTCTTAGTTCTCTCATTTGTATGTTGCATTTGTGATGTTTTCTATGTATTTTCACCTTAATTACTACAATTGTTAACAGCATTATCCACGTGTACTGGAATCTCAAAGCACAGGTGTCCTCGGTTTGAAGCCATTAAGAGCTTTGCCATTTCTTTTTGTCATGATCAAGGTCTTAGTGTAAGAAAGATCATTAAAATGCATGCAGTCAACATTAAACGTGATAAATCTTGTTGGATTTCAAGCCATGCAAAGATTATTCTGAAGGAAGAGTGTTTTATTTTTTTTATATTTTCCTGGCATTCGGCATTCATTTTGTTAAATTCAGAACATGTCCTTAGTCAGACAGCAGACTGTCTGACTGGGATGATTCAAGTTCATTTGAAAGCCAGAGGAAGGAGCTGTTATCTTGTAATATTTTAAGCAGTCCAGTAATTATTCCAGAGTAAGAATGTTGTCTTTTTTATGATTTTAAGGTATAATGTATTCATTTTTCTGTGCTTGCATCACATTTAATTACACTAAATGTATATTTTTCCAATTTCGAAGTTGTTAGATGTCAAAAATGTGAGTAATATCAGACCATGCCCTTAGTCGGACACTAAACAGAGATGGTTGGAGTTCCCATGCAGGCCAGAGGAAGGAGTTGTTGTTGTCTTGTAACATTTTAAGTAATCCAGTACTTATTCTGTGATGAAGATGCTCCTCTTTTTTAATTTGTAATGTATTTTCTGTTCATTTTTACATCAAATTTCATTGTACTGAATGCATATTTTTCAAAATCTGAGACAGTCTGATGTCAAAAATATGAGTAAATTCAGAACGTGTCCTTAGTCAGACAGCATACAGAGATGGTTGGAGTTCCCATGCAAGCCAGAGGAAGGAGCAGTGAGAGGAGGAGGAGGACGAGGAGGAGGAGGAAGAGGAGGAGGAGGAGGGAGACAGAGAGTCAGGAGTGAGAGAAAGACAGTTTGTGCACAGGCCTGGCTGAGGAGACACAGTTTCCAATGATCACTTTTGTGACTATGCAACTGGG